ATTGCAAAATTTCATGTTTTCCATCCCGTTTCGCATGTTTCTCGGAAGCAAAATGAGCAAAAACGCTCGTTTTTACATCATTCCAGAGATAACTAGATCATTCCAGAGATAATGGCCTTTATTCGAAGTTTCTCAAGAACCAGCCGAGCTACAGAATTCGTTTTGGCATCGCTGAATAGAGAATTGAAAAGTCGATTCAGTCGTAACAACGTGAGTGCGGAAATTCGAGTAGTTTTGAACCCGAAAGCAAAATTTGAATATCAGACACTTAGGTGCAAGATTATGCCAAACTATTATTTGTTTAATGTTAGCAACAAATGCACTTATTATAATTTGAGCATTTACATGCTTTTCAGTAAAACATTTTTGACGCGGAAAGATGATAAGACCATCTAATGAGTTAAATTGAAAAAGCATTGAAACATTCCCCTATCCTTGAACATTACCATAAAAATCGCATTCCCATCCACTTGTTGTGGACACATTGTAAGGCATAGTAGGCCGTTGCTCGTCATTTCTCTGTGACATTTTGGCGTGATAATCACGTCAATATCTGCGGTGACGAAATTGGCCACTTTGACGTACATTTTCACGTCTTTTTCACGTGAGTATGGCGTGTTTGTGAGCGGAGCGAGAAACTTGCTTGCAAACGGAACGTTTATTAAGAAAGAAAACCATTGCGAGTCTCTGTAGGGGTAAATATTAGCGTTTAAAATATTACTATCGCGCTTCAAAAAATTAGTAAATCTTTTGAAAAATGCATCTTGATTAAAAATTTTTAATTCCTAGACTGCATTTAACCCAAGATCAGAATCTCCATTTTTTTACAGCTAAGTAGATTCGTTTTGGCATCGTTTGATAGAGAATTGAAAAGTCGATTCAGTCGTAACAACGTGAGTGAGCAAATTCGAGTAGTTTTGACCCAGAAAGCGAAATATTAATATCAAAGACTTAGGTTCAAGATGATGCCAAAAATTTCATGTTTTCCGTCCCCTTTTTGCTCATATCTCGGAGGCAAAATGAGCAAGAACGCTCGTTTGTACATCATTCTAGACAGAAATAAATGGCCTTTTTAGAAAGTGAACCATCGATAAGGAAATGTTGGCAGTGTTTTAAAAAAATGCTTGGATTCAAGAAGTTTTAGATTTG